ATGACTGTGAATACGACGTAATAAATTCATCAAATATTTGTTTATTACCATGAATAATTCATGGGTAGTATTAACCCAACCGCAAAGTTTAGTATAGGAGTATGGTATTAATAGCTAGCTTTACGGAAACCATTGTAACTAAATTGTAACATATTAGGGTAGTAATTACTAGTGGAAGTTCCATTCCTTTCTATATAATTCAATATATTGTGAATAATTAAGTTGACATACAGACATCAATAGCAATAAATATTTAGGCAAAATTAGTAGATAACTGTTCCAAATTTATTCGATAGTAAACAGTGCGTTTTAATTAAATTAAAATTGTTGCGTTCCTCATAACTTTCTACGCAATGTATCAACAATCAATTTTTTTTTTAAAGAAACCGCATTTTGGGTTCATTAGATTCAAGGTAGGTCACATGTCTTTAAAATTATTTGTAATTTTAAATACTTGTACAGTGTGTTCCCGAATGGGGCACCGCACTCTTGAATCTTTTTTATTGTTGATTTTTCGAGAAAAAGTTATTCTTGATAAAAAGTTTTGCTTATCTTGGAAAGCCATGGGCAATAATCAAATATGTAATATAATATACAGGGCGTCCAAAAAAATTCAAAATGTGAAATTTTTCCTAAGCAAAGTACCTCTAGTTTTTGTTTTCGTTAGAAAACTAATTAACAAAGTTGTTCGAGAACTCAAGAAATGTTTAAATATGGGGTTTAAAAAAAAAGAAGAATAATCACATTTTGCAAATAAGAATAGGCGATTTTTAACTATTTAACTTAAAGCAGACAGAAATTGTTGTTAAAATAAAATAAAAGTAGCTTTTCTAATTAAAAAACAGAAATAACAAATTTGAACTGGAATTAACAACAACAACGAAGCAAGTCCTATTCAATTTGTAAACGTCCAATACACATTTTTCTATTCTTTTTTTAAGTTGTTTGTACATAGACGAAATCGTTTCCGATCCGATTCCATAACATTTCACAAGATACATTCGTTTCTCCAGGGTTAGCATTATTAATACATTTTATTCGGTGGGCAGTTCATAAAAATAAATATGGTTACTTTGACATTGATAAGGAAATATCCATGGTAATTAATATGGTATGGAAGATAATTAAAAATTGCGGCGTCTTTTTACTTGCAAGTACTTATTGTACTTTTCTGACTAAATCCCGTATTTAAGCATTTCTTGAGTTATCGAACAACTTTGTTAAATAAAGAAAGTCTGCAACTGTTTAATTATAAGCATTAAAAAATAAGAACCTTCAAATCAAGGTATTTATGCACTATTGAAAAAAGAACTTGCAATTATATTATGTATTCCGTTTATGTGTGTGATAATGGCAACAACTTATACATTTCATGAAGACCGACTTTATTATTCAATGAACGGGAAATCATATTCAGAAAGTTATTGTTGGAACACATTAAGTAACTAGATATCTTGCAAATTTGCATTTATATGGAAAGTGCATTGATGTAAGAAGTAATTAATATGTTAAGGATTCTAGCAATAATTGTTCTGTGGGGCAATGTCTTTCATAAAAAAGTTGAACATCTGTTGTTTTCCTTTTTTCATTATGGTTATTTTAAGTCTGCCTATTTCGGTTACATGGCAAAACACCGACGCCAGGAGACGAACAACTTCCAACGTGGAATTTTTGCGGAACTCCCACTTATAATAATTAATTGTAAAAATTATGTTATGGTAATTGTGTAAAAAAATAAAATTCCAAGTTTTTTTTTTATATATAGGTCATCCATGTTGACAGACTGTTGGATTTGGGAGTTGAAAATCGATTTTTCGTTATAACTTTTTTGTTTTTCATTAAATTTGAGTAAAACCAACAAAATTTTACACCAAAAAGAGGATTATATTTTTTAGAAGGTTCTCTGAATTACTCCATCATGGTAAGTGTAGGTTCCCAACCTAAAAATGATAAAAATACAATTTTTTCCTATATTTGAGGTTATGTTACATCACGAGGTAATTTTCCGTACAAAACTCGTTATGCCATCCGAAAGTACTACACTCCCCCTTCCAAATCCATCGTTCAAATATCTTTTTTCATCTTCGACAAATTGTCTGTTGAAACCATTTAGTTTGGCATATTCGTTAATATTCGGAAATTGAGTAGCGTCAGGTGAAGACACAAGAAGGGACAATAATTAAATGACAAACACTTATTTTTCCACTGGTTTTTTTCAGGTCTTCAGGGTTACTAATTACGAATCTGAGGTCAAAATTACAANGGAGCAATGTCTTTCATAAAAAAGTTGAACATCTGTTGTTTTCCTTTTTTCATTTTGGTTATTTTAAGTCTGCCTATTTCGGTTACATGGCAAAATACCGACGCCAGGAGACGAGCAACTTCCAACGTGGAAGTTTTGCGGAACTCCCACTTTATCGCAGGATAGGGAATCTTTTACTTGCCTAGCATTGTCTAGAGGAGGGATTTAGGGTTTTACATGTTTTCCGTTTCTTCTATACAAAGCTCTCTCTCTTTCTCTCTTTCATGCTACTGGACGAGCATGGCGATCCTTCCTTGAATGGTCACTCATGCAACTACTATTCGCGATAAGTGTTACTTCTCTTTTCATGTCAATAACATGAATACCAGATCGCTAGGCCGTACTTGCCCCACCTGTCGATAAAATAAAATAATAATTAATTATTGTAAAAATTATTTTATGGTAATTGTGTAAAAAAATTAAATTCCAGTTTTTTTATATACAGGGTGATTCAGAACTTATCCAAAAAAAATTCTGGATGTACAGGGGACCCTTACAAATACAATTTTGTAAAGAAAAAATTAAAAAGGGCAGTTCGAAAATGATTTGAAAATACACTTCTGCACGGCACTGGAAACTGGTCCACTGTAAAATCTGACCATGCGACCGGCATGGCATGGCGGTGTGATAAAAACGGACAAAAANTCCATGGTAATTAATATGGTATGCAAGTACTTATTGTACTTTTCTGACTAAATCCCGTATTTAAGCATTTCTTGAGTTATCGAACAACTTTGTTAAATAAAGAAAGTCTGCAACTGTTCAATTATAAGCATTAAAAAAATAAGAACCTTCAAATCAAGGTATTTATGCATTATTGAAAAAAGAACTTGCAATTATATTATGTATTCCGTTTATGTGTGTGATAATGGCAACAACTTATACATTTCATGAAGACCGACTTTATTATTCAATGAACGGGAAATCATATTCAGAAAGTTATTGTTGGAACACATTAAGTAACTAGATATCTTGCAAATTTGCATTTATATGGAAAGTGCATTGATGTAAGAAGTAATTAATATGTTAAGGATTCTAGCAATAATTGTTCTGTGGGGCAATGTCTTTCATAAAAAAGTTGAACATCTGTTGTTTTCCTTTTTTCATTATGGTTATTTTAAGTCTGCCTATTTCGGTTACATGGCAAAACACCGACGCCAGGAGACGAACAACTTCCAACGTGGAATTTTTGCGGAACTCCCACTTATAATAATTAATTGTAAAAATTATGTTATGGTAATTGTGTAAAAAAATAAAATTCCAAGTTTTTTTTTTATATATAGGTCATCCATGTTGACAGACTGTTGGATTTGGGAGTTGAAAATCGATTTTTCGTTATAACTTTTTTGTTTTTCATTAAATTTGAGTAAAACCAACAAAATTTTACACCAAAAAGAGGATTATATTTTTTAGAAGGTTCTCTGAATTACTCCATCATGGTAAGTGTAGGTTCCCAACCTAAAAATGATAAAAATACAATTTTTTCCTATATTTGAGGTTATGTTACATCACGAGGTAATTTTCCGTACAAAACTCGTTATGCCATCCGAAAGTACTACACTCCCCCTTCCAAATCCATCGTTCAAATATCTTTTTTCATCTTCGACAAATTGTCTGTTGAAACCATTTAGTTTGGCATATTCGTTAATATTCGGAAATTGAGTAGCGTCAGGTGAAGACACAAGAAGGGACAATAATTAAATGACAAACACTTATTTTTCCACTGGTTTTTTTCAGGTCTTCAGGGTTACTAATTACGAATCTGAGGTCAAAATTACAAAATTTAAAATGGCGGATCTAATATGGTGGATGGAATAAAAAAATATTGGAATTTAGAAATGACAAAAAAATAGTACCTACGGAAACCTGGCATTTTTGGTTTAGATGGTTAGTCACATTTGGTCCGACTGTGTAATTTTTTAGTAACAGCTACCTTACCTAAAGATATTTCTACGAATGTATTGAACTTATTGATATCTTTATAGGCCTCCTGGAAACAGAGCAACCTCAGTGGTCTTGGTCCCCAAATGGAAAGTGAAAAAGCTGTACTTGTTTAATATTGATACAAGAAAGGGTTTTCGAGACAAGCGCGTTGGATGTTATTTTCGACATATTAATAGCAATAAAGACCTGAAAGCAACAATTAGTTCTTTATTAAGCAAAATAAATGTACAATGTAAAAGGACATTTGATATTATGGATAGATAAGGGATTTTCAGTCGACGTTCTGTATTTCGATTTTGCTAAGGCGTTTGATAGTCCCGAAAAACAGGCTATTGTACAAATTAGAACATATTGGAATACGAGGCCCATTACGTGCCTGGATAGATAGTTTCCTTACAAACCGAACGTTTTCAGTACGAGTTGGCAAATCGCATTCGTAATCTCAAGTAGTTCTTTCTGGGGTAGGTACCTTAAGGTTCTGTTTTGGTCCCAGCCTTATTTTTGGTATATACAGTCGACCTCTCGCTAAAGCTCAAATCGCAGCATGCACTGTATCATCATACTCTACAAGATGATATTATTTCCATCGAGCACTGGTGCTATGATTGTCTAACCCACTAAATTTAAATTAGTCTGCTGTTATACATATTGGTACAAATAGTCCCAAGTTAACATATAGTTCCGATCAAGGCCAACTTATAACAACTGTCGAAAACTAGAATGATTTAGATGTAGTAATCAATTTCAGTATCACCTGGTCCGCCATTGTGAAAAAAGCCAACTCCGTGTCTTATTTTTTAAATAACTGTTTCCAGAGCTCAAACGAACAGGTCTTATTAAAATTATCATATATTGGTCCGCATCTGGAATACTTTATGAACATATCGTCCCCTTACCTGATAAAATATATCAATCTGACAGAGAAGATTCACAAAATGGATCCCCAAATTTAGATCATTTCCATATCATCACCGTTTGGATAATTTGATAATTACTTGTACTAATATGGGACGTCTACGTGGTGATCTTATCCAAGTGTACAAGATCCTAAAAAATTATAGCCTAACTATTGTTGACTTGAATGACGATGAAATTGTAAGTGTACCCACAAAGGAAGAAGTAGAAGATTGTACTAAACGGTTAAAAAATAACAAGAGTGCGGGAGAAAATAATATAACGGCAGAAATTTTAAAGCATGGAGGGGAAACACTGGTAGTAAGAGTATGGGAGCTGACAAAAAAAATCTGGGAAGAAGAGAAGATGCCAGAGAAGTGGAATAAAGCGCTAATAATACCCATTCACAAAAAAGGAGCTAAGGAGGAATGGAATAATTATCGAGGGATTGCAGTACAAGATGTAACATACAAAGTGGTAGCGAGAATAATTAAAAACCGATTGGAAAAATACCATAACGAACAAGTGGGGGAATACCAAGGAGGGTTTAGGGCAGGAAGATCAACTACCGATCAAATATTCATCATGAAGCAGATCCAACAGAATACTTATGAGCAGAATTTGAGTTTACATTTGCTGTTTGTTGACTATCGGCAAGCCTACGACTCCATTAGTAGAAAGAAGTTGTCACATTCAATGAGGCAGTTAGGAGTCCCAGAGAAGTTATTGAAGTTGGTGGGGATGACTATTAGAAGAACAGAAAATAAAGTTACAATGAATGGGGCAGTATCTGAGGAGTTCAGTGTAATGAAAGGTTTGAGACAAAGAGACCCACTGTCCACAGTCTTGTTTAATTTGGTGCAGGAAGTGATTTTGAGGGAAAGTGGTATAAATATGAGAGGGCTTATATATGGCAGCCGACACCAGTGTTTAGCTTATGCCGATGACATTGTGCTGATGGCGAGATCCGAGGAAGAAGTAACAAGGGTTTTTAAGTTGTTGGAAGCAAAAGCAAGAGAATATGGCCTAGCAATCAATGAAAATAAAACAAAATATATGGTGATGAAAAATAATACCAGAGGACTTCCAGCAAATTTAAATATTAGTTGCACTGCAAATAGGAGATATACGATAGAGAGAGTAGAACAAGTCGAATATCTAGGAGTAACGCTAACGTGTAAGGGCGATGAAGAAAAGGAAATAGGAAAAAGGTTAGCGAAAGGAAGTAAAGCTG